CAAGAGTTCAGGTGTTAGAAATACTGATCTCTTAAGATAAGTGATCATTCTTTTTACTGTTAAGCTTTATAACGTGTGTGCATACATATATATATATATAGGAGAACATAAGAAAGAATAATAGCATTATAAAAAATTTAACATACTGCCCTCAAAAAGAAAAAAGGAAGTGATAAAGAAAAATTGAAATGATGGACTTGACTAACTAAAAAAGTTACTTTAAAAAGTGTATTGGTATATTTTGAGAAACTAGAGGACACTCTTCACCTGCATGCTGTACCAGTGCCTACTGTCACATATTTCTGTAGAATAATTCCATGTAACATTTCAACATAAGTCAGATTAGGTAAAAGAGGGCAAGTTGTAGGCCGTCATAAGACCAAAAGCATGAGCATGCTTGTTTGAACTACTTTTTTTCCTTTTTTCTAGTGTTAAAACACGACCAGTGAGAATGCCCCCAGGATATCAAGCAGAACTTGTTATTCAGTTGCTGTGGGTAGATGGTGAACCTCCCCAACAGATTACCAGTCTTGCCCTAAGCTCAGCATATGGAATGTAAGTAATTAATCTTACTTACTGATTTGTATTAACTACTAGTTTTTAATGTTAGATATTTGTCTTCAAATACTTAATTGAAGTCCTAAAAATTAGAAGATGACTTTACTTGGATTTTTTTATTGAAAATAGTATGAGAAAAATAATAATTTAAACTTAAATTATAGTTATTTGTCCTGTTTTGATGTCAAACATAGGATGGTGTTCCCACATCTGATGTTACGATGTTACTACATTTGTACTTTTTTGTTTACTTGACTTTGTATTTTCTAGGTATTTTCTTCTTATGCTTCATTTTAGATAATTTCTTTTGCCTTGACTTTTATAGGTCATCAGTAGTCTCCTCAACTGAGTCTGTTCTGATGGTAGATACACAATGGAATTTAATTTTAGTTATTTTCTTTTTAGTTCCAAATCTTCCATTTGGTTCTGAAAACTTCCTTTTTTTGTTTACATAATCTCTCTTGTTCTTTATTACCTTGAAAGTTTTTAATATACTTACATTAAATACAGGGGCTACTGTAATAAAACAATTTAGAGTGCATAGTTTATAAACAACAAAAATGTATTACTTATATTTCTCAGGCATCCAAAATCAAGCCAATAGTGGAGTCAGTAATTAGTAAGGGTTCATTCTACTTCAAAGATGATGTCTTCTGGCTGCATGCTTATCAAACAGAAGAGGCACTGATCTTATTCATGAAGGTGGAGATTTCATGACCTAATCACCTTGAAAATTCCCCACCTTTTAAAAACATCGCCTTGGGACTTTGGTTTAAACATGAATTTTGAAAATACACAAAAGTCAAACCATAATGAATGCTAAATTTGTGTCCTTTTCACAAGCAAAATATATTCATTCAATCTTAATAGCTCCACAAGTTAACACTATCTAACATCAGCTCAAAAATTAAAGAACCAAGGTTCATTTAAATCTTTTCTAAATCAGATACAGGTGAGACTCAAGGTATGATTCATTCAGAGGAAAATTCCTCTCCAACTGTGAGTGTATGAACTCAAACAAGTTATATGTTTCTAAAATACAGTGATAGGGTAAGACATTCCCATTCTGAAAGCGATAATGGATCCTCAGTAACTACAAAACACAAGATGAAAATGTTAAATCTTAAAGCTGCATAATAATCTTTGACTCTATGTTCTGCCTTTTATACAAATGAGAGAGGGATTAGACCCCAAGCCTTTGGACAGACCTGTTCCCATCGTTTTGTGGAGTGGAGCACATGCCATGCCATAGCTCTCATGGGTTGATGTCTCTTGCCTGTGGCTCTCCCAGGTTGAAATTACATGCTGATGGATCTACCATTTTGAAGTCTTCATAGCTTTAATAGACATTGCTCTATTGGAGGCTCTCTTGTGGCCCTGTTTGGCCAGTTCTCTGCCTACCCCAGACCCTCAAGGCCATCCTTTGAAATTAGTACAACTATGTTAGCTATGTGTATAGAATATGGGGAGCAGAGCCTTGAGGAAGCACAGAGGAGTAAGTTCTTTGGTGTCTGAGGCCCTCTTATGACAGAGTTTTGTTCACATAGCTAACATATTTGTTCCCTAAGCCTTGAGACTCTGGGACAGTGATGGTAGTGGCAGACCCACTGATCTCCAAAGTACCTTTAGAATCATTCTTCCATTATTTTCTGCCTATCTATACTAATCTCTATGTCAAGCCCAAGTAATGGTTCTCTCTCAAATACACTTTTTCTTTCTTTGCAAAATGGTCAGACTGAGAAATTTGCCAAACTATTATGCTCTGTTTACTTTTGGATTATACACATAGCTATGTGTTCAGGAGCAGTGAATATCATTCAATTTTTCTGATGTTCTCTTCAATCTCTTTTTCAGAGTACTGTAGTTTTTTTCAAAATTTACTAATTTGTTGGAATATAATTTTTGAGAGTAGTTACTATCTTCTCTATTTCAGCACATTCTGTTGTACTTTCACCTTTTTCATTTGTAATTGCATTGATGTCTTTTGACACTTTCTCTTGGTAAGTCTGGCAAGAGACTGATCTATTTCATTTATTCTGGCAAAGAAGCAGCTCTTCAATTCATTGAATTTTTCTACTATTTTTTAGTCTCAATTTCATTTATTTGTGTTCTCATCTTTATAATTTTCCTCATTTTTCATTTTAGGTTGGTTTGTTTCTGTTTCTGAAGTATCTTACAACTTCTGTTAAGACTGTCTCTGAGCTTGCTCTGTTTTCCTAATGTAAGCATTGATTGCAATGAATTTTCTTCCTAGAACTTTTATAGTGTTTCAGAGGTTTCAGTAAATTGTATCATCATTGTCATTAACTTACAGAAATATTTTAAATTCTTCTTTGATTTTTTCTCTGATCCATTGGTTGTTTAGGGGTATGTTGTTAATTTTCTAGGAGCTTTATCCTTTTCTGAAATTTCTTCTGTTATTGATTTCTGTTTTCGTTGCACAGTCATCTAATAGTATACACGGTGTAATTTCTGTTCCTTTTATTTACTTAAGCAGGTTCTGTGGACTGGTATGAGATCTGTTTTGAAAAAGTGCTGTATATTACTGAAAAGAATGTATACCCTGTTGTGGAGAAGTAAAATACTCTGTATATATGCAATAAATCCATATGTTCAAGGATGTGATTGAGAGCTAATATTTCTTCTTTGATTTTTTGTTTAGTTGATCTATACTGTGGGAAAGGGTTGTTAAAATGCCCTACTATGTTAGTGGGCATTTATTTTGTTAGTTGTTTTTTTGATCTATTAATTGTAGCAGTTTTGTTTTATAAAGATGGGTGCTACAGTATTCAGTGCATACATTTTTATCAGCGTTATCTATTTATTTTTTAATTTTTATTTAAATGAGAAAAACCATGATACAAAATTTCAAAATAAGATAGCAAGAGAGTAACGATGATTAGTACATTGTTTATTGTTATCTTCAAAATATTTGCTCAGATTACAAGATATAGGCATTACAAATTGATGAAACACCATTAGCACAGACCTTTCTGTTCAATGAACTAAGACAAATTAGTAGTATAGCTATCTTAACTATCTTATATGCATATATAAATATATATAACTATATATATATATGTATTTAATTTTCCTTTCCCCTTCTTTCTTTTCTCCTTTCCCCATCTCAGTTTCTCTTTCCTTTTGAACAGTTCCTTCCCATTTCCCAGTATCTGTTGTACATGTTAGGTTTTATTTACTCTTTCAGGTTCTTGTACTAGGGAGACAATATGATGTTTACATATGCAAGACTGATTTATTTCACTTATGAACATGGTCTCAAGTTGCACCCATTTACCTATAAAAGTCTCAAATTCATTCTTCTTTATACCTCAGTACTGCAACATTCAGAATGCCACATCTTTTTTATCCATTCCTCAGTTGATGGGCATTTGGGTTCTTTCAAAGATTTAGCTATTATATATTGTGCTTCTATAAACATGGGTGCACATATATCACTGTGATGTGATGTTTTCAGTTCTTCTGGGAAAATACCCAGAAGGGGAATTGCTGGCTCGAATGGGACCTCTAATCCTAGTTTTCTGAAGAATCTCCACACTGATTTCCACAGAGGTTACACCAGTATACACTCTGATCAACAACGGAGAAGAGTTCATTTCCCCCACAGCCCCTCTAACACTTGTTATCGGTTCATTTCTTGACGACAGCCATTCTTTCTGGAGTGAAATGGAATCTCAGTATTGTATTAATTTGCATCTCTCAAATGGCCACTGGTGTTGAACATTTTTTATATATTTATTTGCTACCTGTATTTCTTCATCTAAGAAGTGTGTTTTCATATCAGATGCCCAGTTTTGGATTGGGCCTTTAAGTTTGGGGGGGGGGTCTGATTTTTTCAATTGTTTCTTTGTTCTAGATATAAGTTCTTTGTCTGAGGGACAGTTGGCTAAATTTTTTCTCAATCCATGGGTTTTACATTCACTCTGTTGGTGATTTCTTTTGATGTGCAAGTGGATTTTAATAAGATGAGATCTCAGTTGTTGATTCTTTGCAGTATTTCCCATGTAATTTGGGTTTTGTTCATGAAGTCTCCACCTACACCTGTGTCTTCAAGGTTTCTACCTCCTTTTACTTCCTTTGTTAGATTGTTTTCCTAAGTATTTCATTTTTGTGGATGCTATTGTGAAAGGTGTGGTTTCCCTAATTTCTCTCTCAGTGAGTTGGTTGGTTGTGTGCAGGAATGCTATTGATTTTTGAGTGTTGACTTTGTATGCAGCTACACTACTGAATTTTGGTTATCAAATCTAGAAGTCTTGGCTGTGGGCCATCCTGCGGGCAGGAGGCATGGGGCATGTGGCTGGCACCTGCAGCCATGGACCTACCTAGCTGATCACAATGCCTACCTTCTGCTTCTCTGCCTGTAATCTATGAAACAGAATCCCTTGAAATACATGTGTAATGACCTGGCCCTTTGGAGCCTCCTCCTGCTTCACTTTCAAAGAATTCCATGGAACCCAGCATAGTAGGATGACCCCAAACTGTATCATTTCTGAAGCACAGAAATCCAGGTATCCAAATTGACTCCAGAAGACGGAATCTAACATAACAGTAGCAATGGAAGAAACTGAAAAAGTTAGCAAGCAGCTGTCATTCCCTACAATGCAAGGATCAGCTGGTGTCACAGGTTTAAAAAATCCTTCATGAACAGTAAAGATCAGAAGCAAAATGATGGGTTCAGAAGCTCATGAAAAGAGGCCACCAATCCTAACTTCTTCAAAACAAGACATATCACCTCACATTACCAGTTTTGGTGAAATGAAGATTATTTGTGTGGATGCTGTACAGCCTTCACCAATATAGCAATCACATTTCCAGTTCAGAAGGTCCTCTTTTGGCAGCAGATTTATGGGATCAAAATTCGGGATGCAGTACTGCAGTTGAGGAGCGATTTTTGAAACTTGTATCATGGAATCCTTCCTCCATTAATGCAGAAAACAATACCCTGGCACTTATGTTTGGTCTGTATGAGGATTTAT